CTCTCTCTCCCTCTCCCTCTCCCTCTCTCTCTCTCTCTCTTTCTCTCTCCGCCGGCCGTCCCAGTGGAAATCTAAATCTTGGATAATGCTTCACCTTTGTCCGATAATGTAATGCAGTGTGAGCCTGGTGGAGGGAATACAAAGGCTGCATCAATGCTCTCCAAACAAACACACACACACGCACGCACGCGCGCACGCACACACGCACACACCACACACACACACACACACACCCACACACACACACACACACACACACACACACACACACACACACACACACACACACACACACACACACACACACACACACACACACAGAGAAGTTGTCTCTTAAAGCAATGCATCCTTTTTTATAGATTTTCCATTCATGAGAGTGGGCTCTTCATTCTGTCTGTTTAGCCGTATGACTATTAATATTCAAGGTAACTACTGTTATAAATGACTATTAATATCAGTTTATTGCTTAGGGCCACAGACTGTGTGGATGTTTCCCAGCGAAGGGAAATCTCCAGGGCAGAAGAATATAGATCAGATGGTTCAGGGATTATTAAATACTCATCACTGGTCATAGTTTGCAACAACTGCAATTTCTGCTGTGTGATGTGACAGCAGTGTTTGCACCAAAAAGCAATTAATCAAAAAACTGAAAAGGTATCTTTAAATTATGCTTTTTGGGTTTTCCTTTTCCTGTAGTGAGTTAGGTTTTTGTGTAAAGACACTACATACTAATATGAACCTGAAAATGTGCATAATATGGCCCCTTTACCTCTGCAAACTTGAAAATATTTAGCTTGCAAATGTCTTCCACCTAGAAAAAATCTGATGCAAAAAGAAATACCAACATCTGACAATCCATGAAATCTGATCTTTAGACTGAAATGCGTACTTTCTTTTCCCCATAAGGAATGTAAGCTATGTGTAGTACATGGTCCTGATGCACTGCTTATTCTGAGGGTCCTTTTAAGACATTTCTGCAGAGGTTCAGATTCCCATGGTATAGTCACATATTCAGTGCTGAGGCCCGATGTCTCCTTAAGATGTTATAATCTGATTCATAAATGTACTCCTCACTTCCTGGTGGAGCAAGGTACAGCGAAGGTAAAATAATGTGGAGATTACAACCCAACACGGCGCACTAACACTCCATCGTGTATTGACATTGTCACAGCATTGCCCCATTAACGAGCTAATTAAGCAACGTGTGATTAGCTTGACCTCCAGGAAGGGGCTGCAGATATTTTTTCCCGATGGCAGGAAAGCAACGGAGCGTCAAACGATGCAGCGTGAGGCGCAGGTTAATTGGCTTGGCAGAATCATTTCCTTGCGATAATTATTTGTTATGGTTCTATTTTAAATAAATTAGCTTATAAAAGGCCGCCAGACTGAGCTGTAAACAGGTATTAGTGGGGATTATACGGGGGTTTTCCTTTCGCCCAGTCATAGTTTACGGCATGGATAAACCTGCTTAGAGCGCTATAACCTAAAAAGACCCAGAACAGCCAGGCAGAGAAAAATAGTACAAATTCACAGCATTATGTGTCTCGTTATAAGCTGTGAGAGAGTGTGAAAAATGTTTATGTAAATGTCTGACAGAGCTTAGTCCAAAGAATTATCCTTATTAGCATCCTTAAAACAACCTAACTAGCTCCAGTGATCTTTGAGTGACAAACAAAGTGATGCTTCGATGGTTTTCTATTAGTTACAAGTGGCTCTTACATTGGATTAAAAAGCAACTGCAATCTCTTTTCTCTCAAGGAGCAACAACTCTGCATCTCTTCCTACGCCTAATCTGAGAGCCCTCCTATCAGACAGTTACATCAGAGTAGACACATTTGTACATGCTGAAATCGATTGACAAATGTACTTAGAGGGGTCCTGTACGCTTTTGAGGGGTTTCCCTTTCCTGTAGTGTGTTATATGGGGTTTGTGCCTATAGACTGCCTGTGCTGCAGCGAAATGAGACAAATAAAGAGCTTTTTAAACTTTTAAGCATGTAAACATGTCACACAGTAGTTGAAGCACAAAATAAAATAAATATGAACATTAAATTATGAGAATATTAGGGCCTCTTTAACTCCTCATGACACCTTGTAAAGATGCTGTCTAAAACGAAATACCCAGCCTCTCATCTGATTATTTTAATGTTAAAGAAACAACAAAGACTGATGTCCGGTAAGACTTATACACATGTAACATTGATTGATAAACACAGGATGTGATCACAATAATAGGTTGTCATGTTTTTGCATTTTCATTATCAACACATTTGTTCACAGGTTTTTAGAGATGAGGTTATTCACAATGACCTCCTTTTGACATCTGGAAAAAAAGTGCTCATATTTAATCACACATTATTACCAAACCCTTTGAAAATGTGTTCTGTAACGGAGTTTAGAAAAAGATCTGATGTGGAAAATAAGGATATAGTATGTGATGCATTAATCAAGCATTGGAAGACACATTGATCTATAGTAAGCTTTCCAGCAGTCTTGCTTCAGAGGATTTCGACATTAATTATTTCAGGTTTGTGTGTGTGTGTGTGTGTGTGTGTGTGTGTGTGTGTGTGTGTGTGTGTGTGTGTGTGTGTGGTGTGTGGGTGTGTGTGTGTGGTGGTGTGTGTGTGTGTGTGTGTGTGTGTGTGTGTGTGTGTGTGTGTTTGTGTGGGTGGTGGTGTGTGGTGTGTGTGTGGGTGTGGTGTGGTTAATGTCTAAACTGTGTATTAGGCCATCATGCAATTATTCATCTGTAGATTAGATTAAGTATACTTTATTCATCCCAAATAACGTTTTTTTTTGCGTGCGTGCGTCATGTATGCATGTTCCCTCAGAGCTGTCGTTCTGAAGACCTCTCTCTATCTTTGGCATCTCATTTTTCCGAGAGGATCACTCCCATAAATAATAAATGCTATCTGTACTGTATCCTTACGTAATGGATATGTATTCATCATCACAGAGCCTTTCATGTGCAGGATTAAACAGTCAGGATCAAGGTTTGGGTTTGGGGAGATGTTGTGGCATTAATAAGCTGCGCACCGTGGTTTCTGCACAGCGCTGTTCACTGAAATATTCATCAAAACCCGTGTTAAAGGAAACAGCCTTGCATTTCTCTAACTAGAAAGTGTTTCGGTCTAAATAAATGAAAGGTAAGGCATAATTGAGTTAAGAAATAAATGTGACATCTTTATAAAAATGTTCTTCCGTTCTTCCACGAAAATATGAATAACTTATCTATTCTATCCATCTATCTATCTCTCTATCTCTCTCTCTCTCTATCTATCTATCTATCTATCCATATATATCTATCTATCTATCTATCTATCTCTATCTATCTATCTATCTATCTATCTATCTATCTATCTCTCTATCTATCCATATATATATCTATATATATATATATATATATATATATATATATATATATAATCTCTATCCATCCTATGAGGCAGAACAAACTTAAAAATCTCTTTAGCATCCAACTAAAAATACGTTCACAAAAAACGGAACAAAGGAGAGAAAGCACCTCAGAAGAATTCAAATGTGTTCCTCGATCAAACTTGTGAAATGGCCAAGAAAGCAAAAACATTTTGAATGTTAGTGACTGCATTTTCTTATAACACTCGGCAAGGATAGAGTGCAGCATGTACATTATTTATGCAATGTTTAAATTACATGCAAATGAGTTGAAATGCTGCTTTAGAACTATTCCGAATGAAAAGAAACAACAGCTTTCTTTGTCTCGTGCAAACTGCCCTTAGACCTTCAAACTGTTTTGCTCATACTGTAACTACAAAGTTATATTTAATGCTGCTACTTATCTTTTCCACCTTGGATGTGTATGTCTTTATCTGCTCCGTGCCCTTTGCTGTTACAATGTAAATGTCCCTGCTATGGGGCGAATAAAGGATTTCTGCTTCTGTACTTCCTGCTGTTGTGCAGAACATAAAAAAGCAGCAGCACAGAAACAACACATTCACTTTGCTCATTGAAGCCCAGCTTGTGTTTCTTTTAAGCTGTTATTGCCATGTTGTTATTGTTGCTACAGTACTTGACTCCAGCAGTGTAACACTTTGGTTTCTCTGTGTTGCAGCTCGCCCGCTACGCTACAGAGGGGCTTCTCCAGCTAGGACCCCTGGGGTCGACCACCTTCCTGCCTGACACAAAATGCCTCGTCGACGATGGCAGAGGACACGCTCCCAGACTGAAAAAATGTGACACTGTTTCAAGGACTTCACAGAGACTTTGGGACTTCACACAGGTACAGAGTAAACAAAACACATACTCAAGAGGCAACAGATGAAGTGAAGGGTAAAACAGAAAGTTACAGTATGTTCCAAGTCACACAGGGTTCACCCTCTACCAAACTCTGTGGGTAATACTCCTCTCCAATCACAAGCACTCATTCGCACACATCGGCCAATCAGGAAGAGCCTACCCTGTGCTCAACATACAGCATTTATCAGAATCAGAATCAAGTTTATTGCCAGGTACGTTTGTTATCTGGTGGTGGGAACAGAAACAATCTAAACAAATAAATTGTAAAGTAGGTAAGAAAAATAACTATATAAGGATAATACAAAATTAAGTATTTTTAGGAAAACAATTTAGCCTTAAAAGAGGATGCTAAAGACAAGTATCTACATCACATCAAAATCGAACTATACAAATAACCTTAAAAGCTAAGAAACAAAATACAAAACCACTTAGGACAATGAGTAGATATGGCAAAGACGGCTATACCACTGTCTGCTATCTTTTGTTCTTCAGTGATCGGCAAATAGCGTACTGTCTTTTGCCTTGTTAGTTGGGCGATGTTTTGGTGCAATAGGGCTTACATTCCTCGGGTCTTGACCCACTGTACCCAAAGAGTCCAGTAGAGGGCAGATCTTGTGTGAGTCAGAACGAAGGTTACAGATCGTAACCCTAGTTCTATAAGCTGCTGTGTTTATGTAAATATCAATGGGCAAATTTCAGTGTTTCATTGGACAATAACTTTACCGTGTAGAGGGCTCGCCTTTGCTTATAGAAACTAGGGTACAAAAGGTAACCCTAGTTCTATAAGCTGCTATGTGTATGTAAATATCAATGGGCACATTTCAGGGCTCGCTTTGCTTATCGAACTAGGGTTACAAAGGTAACCCCAGTTACTTAATAACTGATACCATTTTAACAGGCATTGAAAAAGGGAAGTTTATATATAAGGTTTTTATTAAAATGTGTCATATGTTCATGTGTTTTGTTGCAGAATGGCCCCATCATCAGCAGGGACACTGGTCGATGCTTGGAGGTAGAAATGTCCAAAGACGCTAACTTTGGCCTCCGCCTGGTGGTCCAGAGATGCTCCGGGCAGAAGTGGATTGATCCGAAACTGGATTAAGCATCCGAGACATTGAAGCCATAGAAGAAAAACAAAACTCTGAGACAGTGTTTGAAGTCACATTTGGATCTCAAACTGTGGACAGTTCAGAGAGGAGCAGAGTATGAGATATTTCACACAGCAAACTGCAGCACACTTGCCTCCCTCAGGTCTCAGAGATCTTCAACACTTAAAGGAGAATCTGATACGTTCATGTGTTCACGGACATCTGCGCTGTTTGAAACGGCCCAAATGTCTGACGTTCAGCCTCATGTATAGAACAGATTACGAGGACACCAGCCCATGAAGGGGGTTGGACGTCCTAGTAACTCTTTTGTTTCTACTGTAAAACAGAATTTTGAAATAAGAAAGTGTGTGTGTGAGCGTGTTTAGTTTAGTGAGTGAATCTGAGCAAATCGAAGATGTGATTGCCACATCAAAGTATGATTTTGGGCTGTGATGGGGAGTATCTTTCGGACATATTGTGCTGGCAGACATGTAATAGGCTTCACAGGGGCTGCCCATCATCTGAACAGGAAGCATTTCACACACACACACACACACACACACACACACACACACACACCACACACACACCACACACACACACCACAGTTCTTTGTTTCTTTGGACTGTATTGCTCACTGAGGACAGGAGCAATCATGTGCCTTTCTCTCCTAATTTCTTTGCTTACTCTGACCGGGGAATGTCAGTCCCAAAAGCATGTACAAAGTTATTTGAAAATTCTTAATATATAAAACAATGTATAAAACAGTCTAATGATAGTAATATATTGTAAAAAGTGAAGAATTGATATCCGTTCTCTGATAACGATTAGGATAATAAAATCATTTTTATGATGAGTCACCTCTCCTTCTTTCTTTGTCCGAACACTTGCTCTACTAGCAAGGACAATGCCATGAAACTATGTGGGTCAAGAATTATTTCCAGGAGTTATTGAATGTAAGGGGAAGGGGTTGAAGAGGATGAAGGATGTCATCTGTCAGGTTGCTCTGGAAGAGGAACTGAAGTCGAGGGACTCGTGAGTCAATGACACTATAAGTATGCACCAGATAAAATAGGAGGAGACGAGGTGAGACAGGAGGAAGGGATGAAGGGAAGGAGGGATGTAGTGATTTAATGATGAAGGGTCGAAGGAATCTAGGGATATATATTTGAAGGATAGAGGGATGTAGAGATGAGAGTGATAAAAAGAAGTGAAGGTAAGGGTCGTAGGGTTTGAAGGGATTTAAGGAGGGGTGGAGGAAGGGATGTAAGGATGAAGGGTCAAGTAATGTAGGGAGTGAAGGATAAAGGATGTAGAGAAGGAGGGATTTAAGGAGGGGTGGAGGAAGGGATGTATACATACATTAAAGAAGGGAGGGATGAATGGTCGAAGGATATAGGAAATGAGAGATGAAGGGATGTAAGGAGGAAGGAACAAAGGATGTAAGGAGGAAGGAAGAAGGATTGTAGGGAGGAAGGGAAGAAAGGATTGTAGGGAGGGAAGGGAAGAAAGGATTTAGAGTGTGAGGGATCAAATCAAATCAGGTTTTATTTATATAGCACATTTAAAAGCGATTTTTGGTCGAGCCAAAGTGCTGTACATGTAATAAAAACACATTACTACAATCACAATAAACAACAATAAGTTACAACAGATATATATAAAAAACAAAATTAAAATAAAAACACAAGGAAAGTCAGGAGTCGTGCTCCGCTCTAACTAGAAAGCCAGAGAAAGAAGTGTGTTTTTAGAGTGGATTTAAAAACCCCTAGGGTCTGGGCCGACCTCACATGGAGGGGCAGAGTGTTCCAGAGCCTGGGGCCAGCTGCTGCGAAGGCTCGGTGCCCTCGGGTTTTAAGCCTGGTCTTGGGCACTACCAGCAGCAGCTGGTCAGCAGACCTTAAAGGTCTGGCTGGGGTGTAGCGCTCGAGGAGTTCAGCTATATAGGCCGGAGCCAGCCCATTTAGTGCTTTAAAAACAAATAAAAGGATTTTAAAATCAATTCTGAACCGAACTGGAAGCCAGTGCAGTGAGGCCAGAATAGGGGTGATGTGGTCACGCTTTTTGTGGCCAGTCAGCAAACGTGCAGCTGCATTTTGGACTAGCTGCAGGCGTTTAATTGAGGCCTGGTCCATACCCACATACAGAGCGTTACAATAGTCCAGTCTCGAGGTTACAAAGGCGTTAATAACCCTTTCTAAGTCATTAAAAGATAAATACGACTTGGTTTTGGCCAATAGTCTTATTTTAAAAAAGCAGGATTTGACTACAGTGCTGATCTGCTTGTCGAATTTAAAAGTGCTGGTGAAGGTCACTCCAAGGTTCATGACCGAGGGGAGGATGTTTTTTTTTTGAGAGACCCCAGAATATCAACCGGAGAGGCTGGAGGTTGCGGTCCAAAAAAGATGACCTCAGTCTTGCTCTCGTTGAGGTTGAGAAAGTTTTTGCTCAGCCAGGATTTTATCTCTGCTAAGCAGTCCATCAGCTGCTGTAGTGAGTGTTTGACATTTGCTTTTAGAGGCAGATATATCTGTACATCGTCGGCGTAGCAGTGGAAGGGAATATTATGTTTTGTGAGAATTGAACCTAGGGGCAGTATGTACAGTAGAAAAAGGATGGGGCCCAGAATCGAGCCTTGGGGAACCCCACAGGTAAGAGGGGCTTTGGCAGAGGAGAAGGCACCTAGCTGTACCGAGAAGCTACGGTCTGTCAGGTAGGACCTGAACCATGCAAGGGCAGAGCCTGTGATGCCAGCGGACTGTTCAAGCCGTGACAGCAGGATGCTATGGTCCACAGTGTCAAAGGCAGCTGTCAGGTCTAACAGCACCAAGACAGCTGGGCTACCTGAGTCGGCGGCTAGGAGCAGATCATTAAAAACTCTTAAAAGGGCTGTTTCAGTGCTGTGCATGGGTTTGAAGCCAGACTGAAACTTTTCATGGATTCCATGGATGGTTAAAAATGGGATGGAGGGAGTTAGGGATGGAGGGATGGGGAAAGATGAGGTAGGAAGGGGATTAACGGAAGGAAGAGGGAGGTTGCTTCATGAGATCGGAGAGAAACAATGTAGACTTGTTGAAGGGGTATGTGTAGCTTAGCAGGTGATTACAGGTGTGGTTGAGACGTGGCCATGCTCCTGTACCTAAGTTAACTAAATATCATTTCTGTCATCAATGAAAGGAATTAGTGTAAACTTTAGCTCCCGGACTGAACCTGGTTAACACAACCACGCACTTTCTTTTGTCCCAGCACCAGCCTGTCTGTTGTTCTGCACTCACAACTTCCTCAGTTGTTTGGCTCTGTGTACTGTGATTATTTCAACCCTCCCACTGGATTAACTGAAAGCTTTCCAATTATTATGCTCAGAAAGAAACTTCTTTAATCTTCTCAGTTTTGTTTCATGTCCAGCCAAAATATGGCAGTTTAAAAAGAAAGACTTGAAAGTGTCTTCCGACATGCTTTCAACTTTTTTAACAAAACTATAAGAAAGACATGAACATCAAATACACCCACAGTACTTTATTGGTTATATAATACATCACTTCTATTGACAGGCATTGTAATACATTGACCACACCAACATTTAAAAGGTTCAGTACTGCGTTCCATACTCTGAACAGTGACTTTGAATACATTGCTTTGGCATGAAAGGCCTGTTCAGTCTTCAATTTACTTGCTTTGTTTTAAAGAGTGTTATGTTTAGGCTCTTTCACATTTACAGTACTTCATTTAGTTTTGACCAAACCTAACCCTTAACATAACTCTTCCCTCAGAACAAACCCCCAAACCTTGCAACGAAAAGTGGTGGTGTACGTCTTGAACAAACACAATGTTTTTTTAACATGTTTTTGTTAATGCCTGAATACAGTCTGTGGTTAATACTAGCTGAAGAGATGTTCACAATTTGTTCTAAGGCACAAAATACATTTGTAAATGCCCCACTCCAGAAAGTATGAAACGTCTTTGTTTCTTAAAATTCAGTTTGCTAACAAGCGTCTAAATGAGACGACTAAACGTCATCTCGCCCAACATTAGCCTCCTTTAGCTTAGCGGTGGTGACGTGAAGTCATGTGACCGTGCTGTAGTTCCTTTATAGCCCAACATTAGCTGCCTTTAGCTTAGCGGTGGTGACGTGAAGTCATGTGTGACCGTCCTGTAGTTCCTTTATAGCCCAACATTAGCCTCCTTTAGCTTAGCGGTGGTGACGTGAAGTCATGTGACCGTGCTGTAGTTCCTTTTATAGCCCAACATTAGCCTCCTTTAGCTTAGCGGGTGGTGATGTGAAGTCATGTGACCGTGTCTGTAGTTCCTTTATAGCCCAACATTAGCCTCCTTTAGCTTAGCGGTGGTGACGTGAAGTCATGTGACCGTGCTGTAGTTCCTTTATAGCCCAACATTAGCCACCTTTAGCTTAGCGGTGGTGACGTGAAGTCATGTGACTGTGCTGTAGTTCCTTTATAGCCCAACATTAGCCTCCTTTAGCTTAGCGGTGGTGACTGGCCTAATGTTAGCTTTTTACTTTAAAAATCATAAAGTGGTGTTGATATGTGGAGATTATTCTGCTGAGCAAAATGTGTAAATTTGGCTCAGCAAAGAGATTATCTTCCGCAATATTAGAAAACCAATGAAAAGATCCTGTTGCTTTTTGTTGAAGGGAGCTCTTGCGATTCTAAATCCCAGGTCTGCCTGCAAATATCTTACAGCAGAATGCAGTTGAATTATTTTGAGCGAGAACAAGATTGCAAAGCTTGACTTCTTCTCCTTAACACAGACATCACATAGGGCAGGAGGTAAGTCAGAAAAGTGCCGTCGACCCTAAAAGCACTGAACACATTCGTTGCGTTCACAAGAGGCTGCCTCGTGTGTCCCAATTTAATTCTCCACTCTCCTCAAACCCAGATATACCGAGCATTTTAGAACGCACTGGAAAGTGAAAAGCCCTTTTTAGTGGGGTGAGCCATCCTATCCGACCTAGATGTTCCAAAAGGCCTATTTTAATTTGGTTTCCAGCTGGTTTACCCTGAGAGATTGCCTGCACTTGCCACCATGTCATGCTTCTTTGCCTCTAATCATTTCATATGAGCGATGCATCATCCGTGTGTCCTCTAAAGGAAGACCAAGACCGCTCGTGCCCTGCCAAGGTAATATCTTATTCTGCTCTCTGAACCAAGTGTACAAAACACACACTGCCAGAGGAATGTTTCACAGACCCCATGTCGGGAAATTGCATGAACCGGAAAATTATTATTCTGGCAATATGGGTTTCCCTGGACTTAACACCTGCAGAATAATGTTACCCGAGCTGATATATATGGATGGATTCAGTGGGTTACAGCTCTGTGAAACTGACACTCGCCTGCTGAGACGTTTTACACCAGCTCCAAGGGAGTGAGTTGCAGAGACAGTATGTGCTTAGCTGTGTGTGTGTGTGTGTGTGTGTGTGTGTGTGTGTGTGTGTGTGTGTGTGTGTGTGTGTGTGTGTTGTGTGTGTGTGTGTGTGTGTGTGTGTGTGTGTGTGTGTGTGTGTGTGTGTGTGTGTGTGTGTGTGTGTGTGTGTGTGTGTGTGTGTGTGTGTGTGTGTGTGTGTGTGTGTGTGTGTGTGTGTGTGTGTGTGTGTGTGTCCAAAGGAACAAATGTTTCCAGAGGATTATTTTAATTCATGGTTAAAATAACTATTGAAGGGCGGTGGTAGTGCTCCAACCTTCAAGTATCAAACACTTTGTAGAGTTTTGTACTTTGCATGTTTACAGAGCCTAGAGGCAGTGTTCGTGTTCGATAAACAACCGGCACAAAAATACAAGCCTCTGTTTTGTTTGTGGAGGCAAAGCATGAGTGACAGTTTTGTACTCAAAGGATACA